AATCCCACTCCTCTGAAGCAAGTTTGATTCCCAGGGATCCCACAGTGCCAAGGAATCTGTAAGGAATTTTATCCACAGAATCCCACTCAGAACCAGAGGTTTGATTCCCAGGAATCCCACAGTGCCAGGGGACCCTGTAAGGAATTTTATCCACAGAATCCCACTCCTCTGAAGCAGGTTTGATTCCCAGGGGATGTTGGCCCACCTCCAACACTGCTGCCCTAGTAGGGTGGCACTCCCAGAACTGCTCATGGCTACTCACATTAATAAGGGAGGAAGAATGGCACAGCTCAGGACGTAATCCCTACACACGGAGCTGTCTCCAGCAATGTTCCCCAGCGCCCAGACAGCCTGAAAGGAAACAGCAACAGCTTCAGTTTCATTTTTCTGACAGGGAGAGATGGGCTGAGAAAGCAAATTTCTGTAACTCCAGGTGACAATCTGCGCTCTGCAGCCAGCTGGGATCACTCCATTTAAACACTGCATTTTGGACATGTGCTTCTCCCCGAAATCCCAAAGTGAGGAGAGATCCTTACCTGCTCCTGAACATCCTCAAAGTCAGAGTTTAAGAGCTCTATAAAGATGGGAACTGCCCCAGCCTCGATGACTATTTTGGTTTGTTGGGAAGTCCCTGAGGCGATGTTTGTCAGGGCCCACGCAGCCTCAAACTGAAAGGAGAGAGGAATTGGAATAAAATCAGCCTGATCCAGCAAAATTAATAAAACCAGTCTGATCCAGCAAAATAAAGGAATAAAATCAGCCTAATTCAGTAAATTTAATAAAATCAGCCTGATCCAGCAAAATACAGGAATAAAACCAGCCTGATTCAGTAAAATTAATAAAATCAGCCTGGTCCAACAAAACAAAGGAATAAAATCAGCCTAATTCAGTAAAATTAATAAAATCAGCCTGACCCAGCAAAATAAAGGAATAAAATCAGCCTGATCCAGCAAAATAAAGGAATAAAACCAGCCTGATTCAGTAAAATTAATAAAATCGGCCTGATCCAGCAGAATAGAGGAATAAAATCAGCCTGATCCAGCAAAAAAAAAAAGGAATAAAATCAGCCCAGTCCAGCAAAATAAAGGAGTAAAATCAGCCTAATTCAGTAAAATTAATAAAATCAGCTTGATCCAGCGAAATAAAAGAATAAAACTAGTTTGATTCAGCAAAATAAATGAATAAAACCAGTTTGATTCAGCAAAACAGCTCTCATGACATTCTGGCTACAATTCTGCTGCAAAGGTTTTGGGAGAGAAAGGAAGAGAATGCCTCAGTACTCAAAGGATTTTATGTTCCTGAGCAATAAAAGAGCTACAGCTCCTCAAAGGATGAGCAAGAGATATCACCACCACCTCATTTCTCTTCCATAACCATTTCCCAGCAAGAAACACAGTGCAGGAACACACAAAATAGAAAATTCTCTATATTTCATCCAACATCCCAAAGATGCTGCGAGTTCAAGGGAAGCTGAGCAGAAATTCCCTTCTTTTGCCACTTTTTTTTGGTTTAAAACCAGATTTCCACCTTCATTTCCTGGAAATGAAGCCCCTTTGTCCATGACCTGGGGCTAAAGGGCACGGAGAAAGAGGAAAGCAGTCATCACCTTGGATTAAATTCCATGTATGGAAATCTCTTTAACGTCTCCAAAGAAACCAGGATTTATTGCCATGCTGGAAGGAATCTCAGGAAGCCACCCAGGCAGGATCAGCACTGGCCAAACTCATTTCTAACCTTCCCTGGCCTCTCTGCCTCCAGCAATGGAGGTTTTTCCTCCACAGTTTCTTCCTGCAGCAGAAATATCAGCTAGAGGAAATGCAAATTCTCTTCTCCTGCAGCTGAATTAAGGAATTTTTGCCAGTATTTTTCTAATAATTTAATTCAGAGCAATTTAATTTTTTTTTTTTTGCCTGAGCATTACAGATGAGTTTTGTCTTCTCCTATAGAGCACATTTTTGGGGTTCAAAATATCATTTTCTCCTCAGAGCACCTGTGGGTTCACAGGATAAACAGCTCAACACCCTGAAGAATTAACAACAGACTCTCCTTTACCTGTAATGTGCAATTTTCACTCCGTTTCAGGAACTCCACGAATCTTTCCACCACTCCCTGAGTGTTTATCACCTCATCTATTGGAGGATTTGGCTCTGAAACAGCAAGGCAGTGTCATGCAGGGGAGTAACAAGCCTCAAGTGTTAATTAAATTATCTCAAACTGGTCTGAATTCATCAGCGCAGCTTGGCAGAATAATTTTCTGTACAAATCACATAGCTGGTAATCATCAGCAAGACAAAAGATTATCACATTTCTCAATTATGGATATTTTTTTCCCCCCAGCCTGCCAAGATTTTGTGGACAAACCCCTGTAAAAGGCAGGCTCTGTTGGATCCTGGGGCAGAGATTAGTTATTTTTACCTTTGGAGAGTAATTTCCTGAATTTCTGAGTGGTTGCTAGCTGTAGGTCAGGGTCATCTGAGAAAAGCATCTCCACCATCTCTCCTGTGATCAATCCCTCCTGAAAAGAGGCAGAGGAGAGCAGAGGAAAGGTTTCATTTCAGATTGAGATTATTCCAGGCATCACAGACGTGACATCCTACAATTTGGGTTTAGCCAGAAATCCAAAGATTTCAAATTGGGGATCCCAGCAGAGCTGACTCCTCCAGTTCACATCTGCAATGCTGGTGGGAGGACTGGGATAAAAGGGGATAAAATGGAATAAAAGGATGCTGAAGGAGGATTTTGAACATGCAGCTGGGAATAACCCTTGATAAACCAGAGAGAGCAGTGGGATGGGGATTCCCTGGCATGGGAATAACCCTTGATAAACCCTTGATTCCTTGGCATGGGCTGAGCTTTGCAGGGCTCATGGCTCCATTGGTGTCACTCTGGATTCCTCAGGAATAAATTCTTCCCCTCAGGAATGAAATTTCCCCCCTCAGGAATGCAGGAATTAAATTTCCCCCCCTAAGGAACAAAATCTTCCCCCTCAGGAACAAGATTTCCCCCCCACACTCAGGAAGGAAATTTTGCCCCCACTCAGGAATGACATTTTTCGCCCCCTCAGGAAGGAAATTTTCCCTCCCCTCAGGAAGGAAATTTTCCCCCCCAGGAATAAATCTCTTTGCATTTTAGCCAAGGGTTTGTGGCTGCTCCAGCTGCCTGCACCAACTTACACAAAGATTCCTGAAAGTAAGGGAATAAAAGCATTGGAATTTGTCAGTTCCATGCAAGCACAGAATCCCAGGATGGTTTGGGTTGGAAGGAGTTTAAATCCCATCCAGTCCCACCCCTGCCAAGGGCAGGGACACCTCCCACTATCCCAGGTTGCTCCAAATCCTGTCCAATTTGGGCTAATTCCAGGGATCCAGGGGCAGCCACAGCTTCTCTGGGAATCTCTGCAGGGCCTCACCACCCAAAATATGAATTCTGTCTGAGGGTACCTTACCCCACAGGCTGTGGAAGTGACGTAGGAATCCACCAGGAGACTGTCGAACATGGAGTCATCCTCATTGATCAGCTCCACGTTCCTCCTTTTGAAGAGCTGGTGGGGACCAGAACAAGGGATTGTTATTAAAAAGCAACAAGCAACAGGCTCCAAAAATTCAACATTCTTGTTCCTTAAGCAAGATCCCTGCTGGACTGAAGATAACCTGAGTAAAAACTCATTAACAGCAGCTCTGCACTCTCAGGGTTAGTCTGGCACACAAGTTTAAGTGCTGATTCTTGCTCTCAAATATGGAAATGCACAAACAGCTGAGCCACCAGGGAAGGCAAGTGAAGAATTTGACCAAAATCAGGAAAACTGGGCAAAAAAAGTAGCTTGGATAAGGTGCTAATAAAGCAAATATTTAGTTCCAGACATAGCACTTGGGAATCACTTTGTGCTTCCAAAAAAGAAACACAACTCAGGGTTAAGAAATACATGCAGGCCGTACTTTCACTTGCTCTTCCTGTTTCACCAGGAAATAATCCTGTTCACATAATCTTTAAAAACACCACCGGCTTTAAAATCAAGGATCTATGAACAAAAAAAGCCCAAAAAATAAAAAAGAAACACAAAAAAACCCAAAAACAAACCAACCCTTGAGTAGCTCAAGAATAAAATGCTTGGAAAAGCTGTCCATGTGAGCTGGGTCCAGAGAAAAAATAAGAAAAAAGCAAGATCTCAGAACAGAAAGAATTATTGCAAATAAAATTTAATGCAGATTCTTGAAGAATCCAGCAGTCTGGGCTGTGTTAGGGCTGACACCACCTGCTCCAGGTGAGTTACCTGTGCAAGATCTCAGTCAGAACAGAAAAAATTATTGCAAACAAACTTTAATGCACAGATCCCTGCAGTTCCAGCAGGTCTGGGCTGTGTGAGAGCTGCCCCAGGTGGGTGAGTTACCTGCTGCAAGATCTCAGAATAGAAAAAATGATTGCAAACAAACTTTAATGCCCAGATCTTTGAATATTGCAGCAGTCTGGGCTATGTTAGGGTTGACCCAGGCTGTCCCAGGTGGGTGAGTGACCTGCTGCAGGATCTCAGAACAGGAAAAAACGATTGCAAACAAACTTTAATGCAGATTCTTGAAGATTGCAGCAGTCTGGGCTGTCCCAGGTGGGTGAGTTACCTGCTGCAGGATGTCAGAACAGGAAAAAACGATTGCAAACAAACTTTAATGCACAGATCCTTAAAGACTGCAGCAGTCTGGGCTGTGTGTTACAGAAAAAAAATGCAAGGAAACTTCAGTGCACAGATTCCTGCAGTTTCAGTGGTCTGGGCTGTGTGAGGCTGCCCTGGATGGGTGAGGTACCTGCTGCAGGATGTCAGAACAGGAAAAAATGATTGCAAACAAACTTTAATGCAGAGATCCTTAAAGACTGCAGCAGTCTGGGCTGTGTGTTACAGAAAAAATGACTGCAAACAAACTTTAATGCCCAGATCCCTGCAGTTTCAGTGGTCTGGGCTGTGTGAGGGCTGCCCTGGATGGGTGAGGTACTTGCTACAGGATGTCAGAACAGAAAAAAATGACTGCAAACAAACTTTAATGCCCAGATCCGTGCAGTTCCAGCAGGCTGGGCTGTGTGAGGGCTGCCCCAGGTGGGGGATACCTGCTGCTCCCGTTTCTGTTTGCGCAGTTGAATCCCCTCCTCCTCCCTCCTCCGGCGCATCTCCTCGGGGTTTAGGGCTTTGTTCTTGTAGCTCTTCATTCGATAGTTTTCTGTGAAAACAGGAGGAATTCTGCCTCAGGGCGCCTGCCACTGCTCCTGTGTGTCCTCCCCGTGTGGGATAACCAGATGGAGTACATTTATTTACTCTGAGTGCCTTTGGTTTTCAGCAGAAATTTTTATTTCGCTGCTACCAGCACTTTTCCCCAGATGTTTATTCCCAGAGAGCACAAACCCAGCAGAGTGAAGGCGTGGAGCTCTGGTGAGGGACAGGACTGTGTCCCACCAGGTGTTCAGGGCCTGACCTACTTCTGCTGCTGCTTCAGAGCTGACAAATGCAGCAATTCCAACCCGATTCCTGCAGAGTTTCCCTCCCAGTCTGTTTTTATCCCCTCCCAGGCAGGGAAGGGACACTCCAGTTTTTGGCACAGCTAAAGGCAGCCAGGGCCAAGCTGTAACTGAAGCAGGGAAGGATGGCAACCCCTGACTGCCCCAGCCGGAACCCCCTGCTTTGAGCATGGCAAAAATTCCCCAAACTCTCCCATTTCTGACATTATTTGCACAGATAATTTGTTTATCCTTTCTCAGGATAAACCTCAGAGGCTCAACTAGCCCAGAACTCATTTGAAAACAAGTATTTTTGGGTTTTTTCCCCAGCTGCTAAGGGCAGGAGGGAGTTTCAGTTTTATCTCCTCCTCATTTCAAGCCTGAGGCACCCTCAGCCTTGTGGCTCACAAAGTTTCAGTCCCACTTATCAACAACCTCCAGCCACCCTGGAGCCCTTCCAAGAACAACTGGAGAAGTGTCAGACCCAAAACTCCACAGCCAACCCAAGGAAAAACACCTACTAAATACAAATATCCAGCTTCTCATTATTAAGGAGAGAGAAAACAACAGGAAAAAATTAATATTTTAACAGGAGAGGAAACAAAATACTTTCAGTTCTATGATTTCCTAAAACCAGCTAAAAAGACACCAAAAAAGAGAGAAACCTCCAGGCTTTAGGGTTTTATATACAATAGCCAGGTGTCACCTAGATATAGATTTTCATTCAGAACATGTATTTAAGCACCACTGTTGCCTTTTTATTTGTATTTCCACCCCACTGTGGCTCGGGCAGCCACAGGGAAGAGTAAGAGCTGACATCTTAGTTCTCCAAACAACTTAAAAATCTGAATCCTCCTTTTGGAAAGCAAAGGTTCCAATGAAAAGGTGGTTTTGAAGAAAAGGAGGAAGGAGAATTGAGGATGCCCAGGATCACCAGGCACTCCCAAAAATAGCCAAGGGACACATGACAGCTCAGCTGCCTCCAAACTCAGCCGTGCCAGAAAAGCCAGACTCAGGAACACTCAGCACCTCGTCCTTTAAGATTTTTTTACCTCCCAGAGCATCAAAACCTTTAAGTTTTTTCTTTTTTTTTTTGTCCCTCTCATCCTGCAGGGAAACCCCAAAGATTTGCATGTCACAAAACTCCCTGTTTTTTCTCCCACAGTTTCTTCCTGCAGATGATTTCCATTTATTTTTTTTTTTTTTTCTCCCAGCCCATCATCTCTGGCAGTGCTTTAAAGGCACGGGAATGCTGATTTGGGACATTCCACCCCATTTCCATGGCAACGGGTGTGAGAAATGCAGGATCAGGACCTCACAGTGAGCAGCAGCACCAAACTCATGGAATGAAACACAGCAGGACAAATTCTGGCTTTGGAATGTTTCAGTGGCAAACATCATTTGTGTCAACTCTGAACTCCAATTCCATCTGTGGGAATATCCCCAAATCCAAATTTATCAGGGTCTGGGAGTTCCTGGGCTGTCAGGAATTCTCTGCTCTTAAGGAAGAGACTCCAGCCACAGATTTTCACTTGACTCTGGAAAGATTTCCTTTTACTGAAGTGCCAGTGGGCACTGAACACAGAGAAAATAATAAATCTTACAAAATTCATTCCATTTTAAAAAGTTCTGATCCTGCTTGGACAAAACATCCCTTCTGCTTAAGGAATCCCACTTCCCCAAGTTGTGCCTTTTGCTGCTCCCTGGATTAGTGAACATCAATCACAGCTCCATCAAAAAATTAAAAATTAAAAAAAAAAAAAATCCCCAGTATTTGCATTTCAAACTTAAGGATGGAATTGAACAACACCTTCCCAGTTTCCTGTGCAAAGGAATGCAAAGGAAACCCCCTTCAGGAGCTGGGAGAAATTTGGCACCTCTTGCCTTCACTGAGGGGAAAAAAATTCATCCAGCTGTCAAAGAATTACGAGCCCAAGTTGCCACACTCATAAATAGGAGGATGAGAAGGTATTTCCCACTTAAAAGAAAGGAAGAACGGGGTGAAAGTTTGACTTTGAAGGCTCAGCAGGGCACTCAAATCCCTGTAAATCCAGCACAAGCCACAGCAGGAAAATGTAATTCCAGAGCTGTTACTCTAACAGCTCCTGGATGGGGAATCCAAGCCTGCCTCTTCCCAATTTTCTGTAAAACATGCAATATTTGCTTCCAACGTTTTCCTCACTGCTGATTAAACCCTGGGAGCTGAGTCACTGCAGGATTTGTGCTGCTGAGTCAGGGCCAGGGCTCTTTTTGGAGCCCAAATGTCCCTTCCCACAGGGAATATTCCACAGGGAATCTTCCAAAGGTGGCTCTGGACGCTCGCAGGGCTGACAGCTGTTCCCTGCTTGGGGAATTATGCAAGTGTAAATAAATACACTTGAGGAACTTCAGCAGCACTAAAATGCCACTTGGTGCCTGCTGGGGACGTTCCCAGCTCTCAGGTGACCTCCAAAGGCCCTTCCCACCCAACTTTTCCCTGGGATGGGGATAAAGTTGGTGATTTATAATTTAAACTCCTCTAAATTAGACAAATTGCAGCAAAATAAATGGAGCGAACTGCTGAGTTTCACCTCATTCCTCATATATCTCCAATTCCCTGAAATCCCAGAGGATTCTCCCATCATTAACATCTCCAGAGGACTCTTCTAGAAAAAAAAAAAAATGTCCAGGACAACTTTATTAAGTAAATTGAAACCCTACAAAAAGAAGACTAAATCATCTGTACTATTTAAATAGAAATCAAATTAATAACTACATAAAGTAGTTGAATTAATGTGTAAAAGAACAGCTCTGAGCTGCTAGCAGAAATCAGTCAAAACCACTTTTTTTTTTTTTTTACTGTCACCAATAGTTTTGCAACGAATTAATAGAAAAAAAAGAAAGGAAAAAAATTCACTTTTTTACTTCAGAAGACACAAGAAATGAAGCTAAACAGGAGAGCAACTAAACAAAAAAAAAAAAATATTCTGTCAAATAATCCCAACTCTGGCTGTGCCTACAACTCTGGAATTCCCCCAGCTGCTATAAAAGCAGCAAAATTCTGCTGTGTGACACTGGGGCAGGTCTGGTTTGTTCTCCCAGGGGTGTTTGGCAGCACAAAATTCCTGCAGAGGTGTCCTGGAGGGGGTGGCCGTGTCCCCGTGCCTGTCCCGGGCTGTCCCCGTGCCTGTCCCGGTTGTCCCGGGCTGCCGTGCCGGTAAATCCCCGTTTCCCAGCCAGGGATGTGAGATCACCGCTGGAATGTGCAGCGCTGCGAGGGGGAAGGGACAGGGGAAAATTTCTCTTTGGGGGGAAATTCACTGGCAGGCAGCGTTTGCCATTCCCCAGGGTTCAAACAGGATTAGGAATCCTTTTGGAATGTCCCTGCCCTGCTGGAAAAAGAAGGCAGCAACTCCTCAGGGCAGTTCTCAATGCTTCCTGCTCCTCATTTTGATCTTTTCAGCCCAAAATTTGAGGGCTTTAAGTCCTCTTCAAGCTGGTTTATCCATTCTGATTTCCTTTAAAAAATGGACTGATCAAGCACAAGAGTTAGCTGAGAACAATCCCAAAACCAGGGAAAAACTTGAACTGAATCCACTCAAACTCGACCTAGGAGAGTTCCAATTAAAACCAACCAGAAACATTCAGAGATAATTAGAGAGGGATATGAAATTCCAATAAATCCATCCCTTCCAACACGTGCTTTGCCTCAGAAACAAACAGGGCTGTGTGATTTGCTAAGCAGATTTACCTGGACCTCAGCAGCCTGAAGGAATCAGGACTTTCACTCTCACAGGATTTTAATAATCAAACTCTCCCCCTTGACAAAGTTCATGTTTGCTCTGCTGAGCTAAAGCAAACAAAGCAAACCAGCCAATTAACTGTAAAATTCATCAGCCACGGGAGTTTTATTGAGAATTGAGCATTAACGGGGGTTTTATTGAGAATTGAGCATTAATGCTGCTCCACGGGTTAAGCAGCACTAACAAAAGGCATTTAAAGATGTCATCAGTTCATTCCTCCTTTGCCATGCAAATGACAATTTCCAACAGCATCATGATTTAAAACCATGAAAAAAAAAAAAATCCACTCAACCTTAGCTGGTTTAAAAATAATAAAGTTACAGGAGGATAATTCAAACAGGGAGGATATTCGGCTCTAACAGGGGTGGGAAGAAGGGGAAGCTCCTGTGCACAAACTTCTCAGCTCCACATAAAACAGCCCCAAGAATTTCCAGCCATTCCCACCAGGCCCCAGGACATTTTTCTCCTCAGAGCTGCCAGCCCAGGTTTTATATCTGAAGCCATAAATTAAAATTTCCGAGCTGTGCAGGGCTGGGAGGTGCAGCAGCCACACACAGACTGGTCACTGACTTCACCTCAGGAGGCAGAAAAGCTCCTGGTGAGATCATGATAAGTGAAATAAATTTTAAATGATCATTTTTAAATGATCACAGAGTATTTTTGAAGGTTCACTGAATCCCTGGTTTGGAAGGAGATGAAAACTTCCACCATCCCAGGCTGCTCCAAGCCCTTTCCAACCTGGCTTGGGGTAATTCCAGCCACAGCTTCTCTGGGAAATCCATCCCAGCCCCTCACAGGAAAAAATTTATTCTCAATATCCAACTTAAACTCGCCGCTTTAAAGCCATGAAGCTTCTGAAGCAGCCCTGGTTAAAAGACAACATTGCAGGTGGAAAATGGAAACATTTTAATCTTTATTTCCAGAAGATCCTCACTCAATTTTAATGAAAACACGGCTGCTACAAGGCTGGGCTTTTCCAACTCATCTTTTCAAACTCTGTCTTCTTATAGGAATCCTCAAAAAAAAAAAAATTAAAGAAAAATTAAAAAATAAAATCCTCCTCCCTGAGCTGGGACCTCCCACATCAGGCACATCAAACCAAAAATCTGCAGGAATTAAAGGAATTCAATAAATAAAAGGAATTTTTAAAAAACTTTTGGAAGGGGTAACTCTGAGCTGGGATTTATTTGGGACAGCCCAGTGACACGGAGGGCTGGAGCTGGATTTTTATTTCAGAAATATTATTTTTATTTCTCACCTGAACCCCTGAGCTCTGGGGGAGCTCAGGACTGAGCCCCAGCAGCTGCAGGAGGATGAAAATGGAGCAGAGAGAGCTGACACCCCAAAGTGACAGCACTGACACCCCAAAACTGGGCTCCAACAGCTCCCGCCAGCTGGACCCAGGCACTGCAGCCCTGGCACCCCCAAACTCAGAGTATTTCACCCAAAGCCAGAATCTGCAGCCCTGGCACCCCCAGTACCAGGGTGCTTCACCCCAGCACCCCCAAACTCAGAGTATTTCACCCAAAACCGGGCACTGCAGTCGTGGCATCCCCAAAACCGGGGTATCTCACCCTGACACCCCCAAAACCAGAGTATTTCACCCAAATCTGGACACTGCAGCCATGGCACCCCTAAAACCAGGGTATTGCAACCCTGGCACCCCTAAAACCAGGGTATTTCACCCAAAACCGGGCACTGCAGTCCTGGCACCCCCAAAACCGGGGTGTTTCACCCTAGCACCCCCAAAACCCAGGGTATTTCACCCAAAGCCTGGCATTGCAGTCCTAACACCCCCAAACCCAAGGTATTTCACCCTAACACCCCCAAACTCGGGGTCTTACAGCCCTGGCACACCCAAACCCGGGGTACTGCAACCCAAACACCCCCAAAGCCGGGCACTGCAGCCCTGGCACCCCCAAAAATGGGATATTTCACCCCAGGATCTCCAAACCCAGGGTATTTCGCTTTGACACCCTCAAAACCGGGTTGTTTCACCCCGAAACGCCCAAAGCCAGGGAATTTCACCCCGACACCCCCAAACCCGGGGTATTTCAACCCAAACACCCCCAAAACCGGGGTATTTCACCCTGACACCCCAAACCCGCGGTATTTCACCCCGGCACCCCCAAACCCGCGGTATTTCACCCCAGTCCCGGGCTGCCTCACCCTTCACGCCCCGCAGCTCCCGCCCAGCCCGGAGCTCCCCGGAGGCGCGGCCGGCGCTGCCCTCAGCGCTCAGAGCCCCCGGGCCGCCCTCCCCGGGAGCCCCCGAGGACCCCCCCAGGCCCCGCAGCGACCCCGCCGTGACTCAGCGGCCGCGCCGGCCCCGCCGCCCTCAGGAGCGCCCGGGACGCCGCTGAGGGGCGAGGGCGGCGGCGGCGGCGGCGCGGGGCGGGCGGGCTGCGCGCACCGCCCGGCCTCGGGGCGGCTTCTCCGGCCCCACGCCATCCCCTCGCCGTGCCCGGAGCTGCCCGGGCCGCGCCCGCCCCTCAGGGCCCTCACCCATCGCGGCGGCGGCGGCTCCGGTGGCGGCGGCGGCGGCCAAAATATGGCGGCACCGGGAGGGGCGCGGGCCCGACGGCGGCCGCGCGGGGCCAAAGCTGTGCGCGCGGAGCGGCCGCCGGGCGCCCCCAGCGGGCGGCGGCGGAACTGCACCGGCGGCGCGGCCCGGCGGCCACCCGTGTCCTGACACCCGTGTCCTGCCACTCGTGCTTTGTAACCCGTGTCCCGCCACCCGTGTCCCGCCACCCGTGTCCCGCCACTCGTGTCCTGCCACTCGTGCTTTGTAACCCGTGTCCCGCCACCCGTGTCCTGCCACCCGTGTCCCGCCACCCGTGTCCCGCCACTCGTGTCCTGCCACTCGTGCTTTGTAACCCGTGTCCCGCCACCCATGTCCTGCCACTCGTGTCCTGACACCCGTGTCCTGACACCCGTGTCCTGACATCCGTGCTTTGTAAGCCGTGTCCTGGCACCCGTGTCCTGGCACCCGTGTCCTGACACCCGTGCTTTGTAAGCCGTGTCCTGGCACCCGTGTCCCGACACCCGTGTCCCGCCACCCGTGTCCCGCCACCCGTGTCCTGACACTCGTGCTTTGTAAGTCGTGTCCTGACACCCGTGTCCTATCACCCGTGTTTTGTAACCCGTGTCCTGTCACTCGTGTCCTGACACCCGTGTCCCACCACCCGTGTCCTGCCACCCGTGTCCCGCCACTCATGTCCTGGCACCCGTGCTTTGTAAGCCGTGTCCTGGCACCCGTGTCCTGCCACTCGTGCTTTGTAAGTCGTGTCCTGACACCCGTATCCTATCACCCGTGTTTTGTAACCCATGTCCTGTCACCTCTGTCCTGGCACCCGTGTCCTGGCACCCGTGTCCTGCCACTCGTGTCCTGCCACCCGTGTCCTGGAACCCATGTCCTGACACCCGTGTCCTGTCACCCGTGTCCTGTCACTCGTGTCCTGCCACTCGTGTCCTGACACCCGTGTCCTGACACCCGTGCTTTGTAACCTGTGTCCTGACACCTGTGTCTTATCACCCGTGTTTTGTAATCTGTGTCCTGTCACTCGTGTCCTGTCACCTCTGTCCTGGAACCCGTGTCCTGTCACCTATGTTTTGTCACCACTGTCCTGTCACTCGTGTCCTGCCACTCATGTCCTGTCACTCGTGTTTTGTCACCTCTGTCTTGTCACCCATGTCCTGCCACTCGTGTCCTGTCACTCGTGTTTTGTAAGCCGTGTCCTGCCACCCGTGTCCTGTCATCCATGTTTTGTCACCTCTGTCCTGGCACCCATGTATTGTCACTCGTGTCCTGCCACCCGTGTCCTTTCACCCGTGTCCTGTCACCTCTGTCCTGTCATTCGTGTCCTGTCTGCCACTTGTGTCCTGCCACCCGTGCTTTGTCACCTCTGTCCTGTCATTCATGTCCTCGCATTTTGTCACCTCTGTCCTGCCGCTCGGGTTCTGTCACTCGTGTCCTGTCACTCGTGTCCCATCACTTCTGTCCTGTCACCCGTGCTCTCTCCTGCCCTGTCCCCTCTGTGCTGTCCCTCGTGTCCCGTTCCCGTGGCCATTCCCCAGCAGATCCCCGAGGATCTTTTCGGCTTCTGTCCAATTGTCTACTTGTCGTGGTTTGACACGGGAAAAGAATTTTCCCGGAAAGAAGAGTTCAATTTAAATATTGACCAATTAAAGGTAGACACGCCTCTGAGAACACAGAGGGGTGATTAACAAAATTCCCAGAAAAACTCACTCTCTTTAGTTCCAGAACACCAACATTGCGCCAATGTCAAACCATAACATCTATCCTTAATTTTGAGGTGGTCCCCAAGGTCCTATGAGGTGTCTTTTAACCAAATTGAGGAAACTTTTGTCCTTTTTAAGGAGAGTTACTTTTTTACTCCATCAACAGGGGCCACACTCCCACAGGTTCTTCTCCCTGTCCTGAAGGAGATGTGAGAAAAGGAAAATTGTGTCATCCCCACCCTAGAGGAAATGAGGACACCCGGGACAGGCAGAGACTCTGAGAACTCCTTTAATTGCTGTTAACTGCAAAAGGTTTGGAGAAAGTCGTCGTTACAAAACTACCAGCTGTTAGAATTGCTCCTGGTTTCTCACCCCAGCTAGAAAAGGCTCAGGGAGATGTGGAATAGTTCGAGAACGGAGAATATTGCACAACCAACCCAAGGGTTAATTCGGCTAAAGAAGAAAAGGAAGCGACACGGATGCTGCAGCCTCAGCCCCAGGTCCCCACTGGTGTCCCCCGTGTCCCCTGCCCACCACAATCCCAGCCAGGACAAGCTGAGGCTCTGCTGGACACAAGGCTTTGGCAGGAGAGGGATGCTCCCACCAGGAGCCACCCCAAAGAAGGAAAACCCAAATTTAAAACCCCAACTCTTCCACGTGCACCTCGTTTAGTGTTGTCCAAACCCAGCAAGGAACCCCCAGGCCTGAAAAGGGCAGCACAAAGTGTCACCCCAGCACCCCCAAGGCCAGGGAGAGCAGCGAGGGCACCGTCCCCTTGGGATAACCGTGCAGCAGCAACATCTCGTGTTGTGACAAGGAAACTGCCCCCAAAAAGAGGCCTGAGGGGGGTGAAGCAAGCAGAGGAGGAACCCAAGTGAGCACAGCAAAGCTCGTGGTGGCTGCAGGGCCTGGCACGGGTGGCACAGGGGTCAGATGGGGACACACGGCCTCTGCCAGCAGGGATCACCCACATTTGGGAGCTTCTTTCTCCCCAGGCTGGCCAAGCAGAGGTTGAAGTGCTCAGTGGGTCAGGCTGGGCTGAACTGGCCACCAACACGAGGGGTTCTGCTCCCAGCTGACCCAAACCACTGCCAGCCCAGCAGGGCTGCAGTAAGAGCAAGCCACGAGGATTTTGCCTGGAGAATTTCACTAGAAAGACACAAAACCCAGCGCAGGAAGGTGGTGCAGCTGCAAAAGGTGGGGAGCAGCAGGCCTTGGCTCTTTGAGGAACTGCTGGAAACGGGAGTTTCCACGAGAAAAAGCTTCCAAGACAAAAAGCCAGGCAGAAGCTCAGGGTTTGGCAGGGGGGTTTGGCTCCTTCCAGGGTCAAAGCCACGAGCCAAGTGCCTTTTTCTGCAGCACCTCCAGCCCTCAGGCCCTCCCTGGGTGCTGCTTTCCAGGTGGGAATTGCAGAGCAGGCACAGCCACGTCCAGGATCCTCTCAGCTGTAGGTTACACGTGCACACACAAGCAAGGAAGGAGCCAGCTGGCAGCCTGGCAGCACCCAGCACTCCTGGCAGGGCTCTGAGTGCCCAGCTGGCCCCAGGGACCCCTCACTCTGCCTCTCCCTAACACGGCAGGGTCAGTTTTGGCTTGGCCAGTCTCTAGGACCTATGGAGAAGTCAGGCTCCTGTGTGCCAGCGACCTCCTGCTTCCTCCTCCTGCATCTGAAGGGGTGACTTGAGTTGCCCCCAGGTTTTTGCAGGGATGGAACTCCTCCAGCCTGGAACTGCAACCCCCAGCACAGTCACACACAAAGGAACAGCCGGTCCGAGATTGGATTCACATTCGATGGTGGAAATGAGCCTGTGACACACACTGGAAGCAGCTGCTTTATTCCCAGTCTTCCCACTCTTCATCTTCCAGCTGCAAGCAAGAGGAAATCCGTTTCTGAGCTGTTTCTGAGCTGTTCTCAGCTGTTTGTTTCTGTAACTCAACAGCTCCTCCTTCCCAGGGCACCTGATGTATCCTCACACTCCCACAACAGGGATTTGCCTGCTCTGTTCCCCTTGGGAAACCTGCACACTCATCCCAGCACCCCGAGGCCTTGGTGATGCTTTTTGGGGGGCAGTTTTGCCTCTCCTGACTCACCTCCCCAGCCACTTCCACCTTGGAGAGCGCCAGCTGCACCTCCTCTTCTGTCATGTCCAGATCAAAATCCTTTTCCCAGTCCTCGCTGATATCCGTGCTGGAGCCTGGAAGCACAAAAATCCCCACTGAGCCACCAGAGCTGGCCCCAAAGCCCTGGAATTCCCAGGGCCCAGAGCTACCACAGCCTGCCTGAGGAGGGAAAGCCTCCACATTGCCAGGAACAGCTCCCCGACACAGATGGGATGGACTGAGCTTGCTTCCCTCACTGCCAGGGCTGGTGCAGGACCAGTGGGAGAGGTGGATGCTGAAATATTTTCTCCTCTGGCCTGGGAGAACTGGGATGTGTCAGGTTCCAGCCACACAGAAAATGCAGCAGATAAGGAATGACAGGAGGGACTTGGATATGGGGACTGTCATTGTCCCAGCAGGGACACCCCCAGGGATGACAGGCAGAGGTGACACCCTCCAATCCACTGTCCCTTTTGGAATTCTATAATAAAATAATAAAATTGGCTCTTTTTTCTCTCTTGATCTCACCACAGAGCACAGCCTTTCCTGGCATCCAGGGACCAAGGGCTGCTCTGCTCAGCCAGCAGACCTTTGATTTCTTTCCCTTTCCTCTCCCTCAGCACCAGAAACCCAGAGCTGCCCCTCCCGGCGGGTTCCCAGCCCCACACAAACCTTTCTTGCCGTTGTTGGAGGGGGTGGATTTGCCACTGTCCGAGTTGAGCTCGAAGACTCTCAGATCTGTGGGTCCTTCCTCTGATCTCAGAGTCTCTGTCCTGCCCTGCCCTTTGCTCTCCAGCTCTCTGAGCTCTGCTCCAGCTGGCTCCAAGGATGCTGCTGATTCCTGGGCAGGTGCAGAAGGCTGAGCAGCTTCTGGGGGCTTGGGCAGGGAGCTCTGCTCTTCCAAGGTGGCCTCCAGCAGGCTGGGGGAGAGTTGGCCGGCGCCCACGGGAGGAGCTGCAGTCTGTGGCTGGGTGGCAGGCACAGGGGCAGGGTTTGCAATCTGAGTCACCAGGGACACGCTCTCGCTGCTCTCCGAGGGGCTCTGCTCCACTGGCACCAGCTCTGGGGGCAGCACAGCCCAGCTCTCCCCCGAGGGACCCTTGGGAGCAGCTGGGGGGTTTCCCTCCGAGCTGGGCTCTTTCTGTGCTGCTCCTGGGAATGTGATGTTTGCACAAGGCAGGGGGGACATCCCCAAGAACTCCTCTGTAGGGAGGCAGAAGAGAAG